ATTTATGCGAAACACTTCATTGCCTCGGAACAGTGCCGATCAGCGGAATTCACTACTTGTCCAGGTTCGTTGCAACAACTTTAACGCTCCATTTGATTCATTTTGATAATTTCAAAACTGCCTTTCAGTTTGCGATGGATAGAAAATACTTAAAACATTGAAGTATTTAAACAAGTAAGCAAAGATAAAATGGTGTTAAATAGCTCAATTGTGCAACACTCTTTACCATTTTATTTAATATTTTCTGATTTCTGAGTTTAGTTTGCCAGTCGAAGATTAACTTACTGCACTAACTTTATAAAGTGTTATTTTATACAGGTGACAATCCAACTATTGTACAGTTTGCTAGCAACGAACCAGAGGACTTTTCCACAGCAGCAATGTTCGTAAGCAGGTATCATAGTACATTCTCATTTTGAAACTACCCTTTAATTAGCCGATGTTCCATTTATAAAAGCGCATCTGAACAATGGCCGAAACCCGCAGACTTTTGATATGATCAAGCTGTCCAGATCAAACTATACAAGATGATATTGTAATTAATGTTTACATTCATTCAGGTATTGTCGGGGTGTTGATCTGAACTGTGGTTGTCCACAGCAAGATGTTATGAAGGAAGGATATGGTTCCAGTTTATTGACAGATCCCATTCGAATCGCTGATATCGTTGCGACTGCACGTCGGCGAATTTCAAAACCAGATTTCACTGTAACGTTAATCACTGTGCTGAAAATTTCCTTAATAACTAGCGGCAATAACTTTAAGTCAACATGTTGCATATTTTAGGTTTCCATCAAAATTCGACTAAAACCGAATCGCCAGTTAACTTTAGAAGCATGTCGCCAAGCAGAAAGAGCTGGTGTTTCATTTATAACAGTGCACGGACGAACACCAGAACAGCGGTCAGAACCTGCAGACTATGATATGATTAAACTCATAAAATCAAGCCTATCTGTTCCTGTAATTGCCAATGGAAATATCAAAAGCTATGAGCAATCAATTCAAGTTGCAAAATATACGGGAGTTGATGGTAAGTTTTTATAACTATTTCCGTAAATATCATTTCTTCTTGAGATGTACGTACCACTTCATGTTTAAGTAAGATTCAAAACTCTGCTTCCTTAGTTCAAGATTGCTGTTAATGCAGCTGATTTTTGTGCATACAATAATTTTAATTTCTTTAATGTATTTTCTTGAATTCTATTGATAATTTGGCAAATATATTATGTTAAGTTCATTCAGCTCCTTTTTTTATGTGAATTTCAAGAGCGAATTATTTTTCTGAAATCTATAAACTTTTTGCTCTCACATGATGTCCAAGGAAGTTATAATAGGAAAACCAGATTTCAATATGCCATGTTTTACAGGTGTCATGTCAGCAAATGGCTTATTAGAAAATCCAGCTATGTTTGCTGGTTACACTTCTACTCCGAAGCAGTGTGTTGCGGATTGGGTGTGGTTTTTTTTCTGCGTTTTCTTTTGTTGCATCTTTTTTATATTATCAATGAGATCATTCAGCATGTCATTTATCCGGTTTACGTATTACATAGTAACCAGTTTATTTTCGATATATTTTCTACTAATTTTTCATAATATTGCTGGAACTATTAATTATCCTACAGGTGCGTTTGGCAACGGAACACGGTTGTCCATTTGATTTGTTTCATCAGCAGTTGATGTTCATGCTTCGACTTTCCCTCACCAGTAGGCAAAGAACGATATTCAATGGACTAAATAATTATCCGGCTGTTTTTGACTACCTCAGTTGCAATATCTTCAAAAACGATGTTTTTAAGTGATACATTCGACAGTCTTATTTATATTGAATACTTGGTATGTAGTTTTACAAATGATGCAGAAAGATGTTGCTTTGCATCCTCATTGTCATGTAAGAATTCGTTAATTTTTTAATCGCAGTTTCTCACTTAGTTCTATGGAACAGTTTTCAGTGCAGGTGTTGCAATCTGTGTCATGAATAAATATTTGGAAAGGCTTGTTATATAGAAATCATAAAGTCTATAATCACTTTTCACGAATCTTCCTCTATCTTGATTGATTGATTTCTACTTTTTTTTCAGTAAACTTGATTATTTTGTTAAGATATTTAATATAGTTTTATTTCAGATGACGACTTTCGTTAAATTTTGAAATGTTAAATAGTTTTATTCTGTGCTATATTGAAGTAATCGGTAATATTCGGAAAATTAAAAATCCCGAGATATCGTCCTATTTAAATCAGTTCATGCTTATCAAAATAGCTCACAGAATATTTGGCATTAATAGTTTGCAAAAAAGTACCAGAATAAAATAAAGGTCGTACGAAAGGAGGCTTAGTTATTAACACCTTATTGCAATCTTATAAGTTATAAAAATTTCAATTTATCACAATCTCGAAAGAAATTACTTATTTGCTAAATTAAAAATGAAGAGAAAAGAAAGAGTGGAAAGTGCAAAAGCTTATGATATAAGCTTTCGTCGAACTGAAATGGCAAAAAAAAGGAAAATTAAATTAAATCCAGCTAAATCATCACTACAATCATTGACATTAAATTTTTAGTACCCTCTTTTTGTAATATTGTAAATTGACAGATATTTCATCCTTTTCTCTTCTCCTTGATAATTGATTTACCTTCCCTTATTTTGATATTTAGCGATTTTCGATTTTCTTAATTAAAAAGAATTTGGTAATATTGTAAACATTTCTTGTAGGATCTCTATTATCAACCATTAAGATTTGATATCGATAAGAATTATCTGATAGCTTCAATATTCTCAGGTAACAGATTAGAATTTATCAGTTATCACTTATCCTAAAGATGTTTATAATCAATTCTGAGGAACATATATGATTAGATATTTCAATCAGAACAGTCATAATATGATAACCGATGAATTATCGGCAATTTAAATCATGCATACCTTTTAGCGTATCAAACCTTAAATCTTTCGTTATGGCTATCAATTTATGATCAATTATGGTACCCAAAATCAGTTTCCTGTTTATTTCATCATCTCTGAATTCTTTTAATATCAAAGTATTATACGAAAAAATGAAAAGTTCACAATGTAACATTTATTTGTCTAAAAATTAATTTTATACAGTTGAATTGTTCATAGATATACAAAGGAGCCGATGGGCTTCTTTTCAACATTTGCATATTATTTATCAATTTTATAGCTATTTAGCTTAATTGTTACCATGAATTATAATGAAAATAATGATAATGATAAGAATGGTGGTAATGATAATGTTTATGTAATCATATCGTTAAATTCATCACTTAGTTAAATTATCAACAGTTTGCTTAATTTAAAATGTTTTACGAACCTATCAACTTTATTATTTGATTTAATCTGATTTTTCCATTACAAAAACAAATCAGTGAAGCTATTCTGTTCAACACTAAGTGATGTATCATTGCAATTTAATTTTAATTTTGCATATTGTTTGTTTTACTAAATAAATTTTACTTCTAATTTATTGTTTTATACTTTCTATTTTGTAATTGAGAATTAGATTAGTTAATTATAAAAGAGATACAAATAGTTTTCGGAAATTTTACTTCATCCTACTACTTGGTAAATTTATGAAACTTGGATTTCTTGGAAGTATCTCGGAAGCACCAGTTGAATTCTGTTTTGATCGATGAAATGCATTTCCAATTTACTTCATAAACATTTAATATGTTTCATCATGGATGGAACGAGTTCGAAAAAATCCATCGTTATCAGTAGTTGCAAAAGCTTAATGAAGCTTCTTCAATGGATCAATTTCATGCATTAATCATTTCCGGAAAATAGTTCTGAATTTTCACCAAAAGAGAGAGAAAGAGCGGCGAATGAATAACTTGAGAGCTTAATGATTAACTTGAGAACTTGAGAACTTGAGACCTTTAAACTTATCAAATTTGAAATTGTTCAAAATTTTGTCATTTAAATCATTTTCTTTCAATTATATGCTACTTCATAATAAACCAGTATCACTAATTAGTTGCCAGGTTAATTAGCAACCACTGATGGATCCGATAATGCAATCTTTACAAAACTTTTAAAAAATTGTTACCAAAATTACAAATTGAAATTTGATAGTGTAAATGAATTGCAAAAGAGACACACACACATACACACACACACATACGTACATGCATATATATATATATGTAATAATTAATCTTACATGCATGCATGCATGCAAATATGCAAAATGAAAAGTATTATAAAGAAATTTTAGCGTAACAATCAATGCAAACAATTATGATCGATTTTTAAATGACAAGCAAAACTTTCCGAAATTATGAAACAAGAATGTTGGAAAAAGTTGTATTCTGTTTGAAGCTTTTTCAACAATTTAAAAAGACCAAGTGGTTTTTTTTAAAAAAGAAAATCTTCGTTTAAAATTTCTATAGGATGAAAAATAGATCTTCATCTATTTCTTCTCTTCTCATCATATTTCAATGGTTTGTTGATTGAATGAAAAATTTTTTACTTTCAAATAATTAAGTAACCATCGAAATTCATCACGCATTTCATTTCCTTCTCATCATTTCGCTTTCTTTTCCAGCTTATATCAAAGATAATATTTGTAAGCTTAGGCTCATTTATAAGTACTTTTAGGATTTAAAAGAGAGAGAGATTAAAGGTATTTCGTTTTATTATCAGAAAGAATGAATCAAATGAAGGAAGACTTTATAATATGGATGATGGATTTAATTTTGAACAGAGGTATTATTATGTGGAGAAATGATATTTCGAATATCGAACATTAGAAATGATTGTTGAAACAAAAATATCAATTTTGAGGAAAGGAAAAAAAATTTATTAAAATTCTATTTTTCATTATGGTTAATTGAAAATATATATGATCGAATACTGCTTATAATTATTTAGTATTAAAGAACAAATTCAATCAGATCAGAAAACAATAAATCTCCTTACTTATTCCATACAAAATTTCTACGATATCTTATCTAATATAAATATATCACAAACTTTCAGCACCATCAGATATTATCTTCAGCAGTATCGCCACCATCATTATTATTATTATTAATATCAGCATCATTATCATCATCACCCACAACACTTTCACCCTTATCATCATCATTCTCATTAGCATTGTCATCATCATTCATATCACTTTCACCCTTATCATCATCATCATTGTAATTATCATCATCATAATCACTCTCATTGCCATTGTCATCATCATCATCATCCTACTAACATGATCATTTATCACCTATATCATCATCACCTCATTAGTATAATCATCATAATCATTATCACCATTATCATCATCATCATCATCATACATTGAGATTAATAGTGATCAGATTACGAAAAATCGGCATATTGTTTCTTTCTTATTTATGAAATTATTTATGATACTAATTTAGCATAAATGCATTTGAATTGCACTCTATGGGATTTAATCCTTTGAAACTTTTTTTTCAAATGTAAACATTTATTGTTTTCAAAAATTTCAATTATATTTTAAAAGGACTGAAATGAGAAAATAAACCATTCATCTTTTAGCTATCATTACGCAAACCATATTTGATCTTTTCTTTTTAATATATTACGGTAAGTAAACATCAACAAAATCTCATTTGCATATTCATATATTAAATTAATTTCAATTTTCCTTATAATACATTCTTCTCATTCATTTCTCATTCACCGAAGATACTTATCATCAAATAATTATCTGAATGATATTTCTCTTATTTATATCAAGGGATAAAATTTAGCCAACTGTTGATAATGTCACCATTTATCATTTAAGTTTTGCTAGCATTCTTTTTTCCAACCTTTAATTTCCACTTCATATCTTTTATTTCTTCTTCTTCTTTCGATATTTTTTAAATCCATATCATGGAAACATTGAAGATAAAGGAATCGATCAGAAAGGTGGCACTATAATATTTTTGTAATTTATTAAAGCTATCAAGACTACTCTTCCTTTTACTGCATTTATTTCATATTTTAAAATATTTTATGATCAATTTTTTGGATAGTATAAAATTATTTGAAATCTTTCAATTTACAGTAAAAAAACCGATCCAAATTTTCCAATCTCATATATATTTTCCGATTAAAATTCATGGCTTACGAAATTTCTCTTTTTTATCCATATTTTCCGATCAGAAATTATGATTTCTGTAATTCTTCAAAAGATTAACAGAATCCGGTTTTTACCTTCTGATGATAATATTCAATGGAAATGTTTAAAGTAGGAATGATAATGATTGATATATTTCAAATATATATAGAAGTGATAAAAAGATGAGAAAAATCTAAAATGACAAGTCTCTTTCGAATAGATAATTTATTGCTCATTTTAATTGATATTATTGTTTTCTGTTTTTTTGTTCTCTTCTTAACTTATTAAATAATTGCGCAAAATTGTTTTATTTGTTTAAAAAAAGTAGGCAATCAATTTTTCAGACATTTTATCATTTCAATTTTTATCAGTTCTAAATTGATTGCACGAAAAAAAAACGGTTACGACACATTTTAAATTAATCAAACTTATAGTAAACCATAACAGATTATCCATTTATCATTTTAATTTGTTATTATGAATATTATTATGAATTATTACGAATGCATTATTACCAATTTGTTATTACGAAATAAACATTTTAAATTAACTAAACTTATAGTAAACCTTAACAGATTATCCATTTATCATTTTAAGTTATTATTATGAATATTATTATGAATTATTACGAATGCATTATTACCAATTTGTTATTACGAAATAATTTGTCAAATTAATTTTCTAATAATTTCCATATCAATCAAAAAAATTTTCGTAAATTTTAGCAATTTTTTCAATGCTGCATCGATATCACTCATCTAAAATGAAAAATAAAAGGAACAATAAAGATTATCTCTTCAATCCAGTTTGATTCCGGAAATACTAAAGGTTTGCTTACTTGAAAACAGTATAATCGATGATACCGTAGTAGGATATCTTGTATGAATTTTGGATGAATATGTGTGTATATATATATAGTAAACAAATGTTACCGTATTTCTAATGGGTTATTCAATTGTATCGATCATTCTTTGTGAATTATCATTGAGATAGAAGTATCACGCACGTGTAATGATGATATATTCTTTGCCAATAGTTATGATTCATTATGCGTACACAGATACACATGGAGAAGATCATAAAACAGCAAAAGAAGACATGACAGCAAGGTAAATTTGAGAAAATATCAGACTTAATTAATTTAGACAATTTGAGTATTGAAAATACATCCAAAAATAATCTTCATATTTCTCCTATAAAATTTAATCCGAACTCTTATCACTTCATGATAATTCTTAATGATACGATCGTTACTGTCGTAGGAAAATGATAAATAAATTCAAATATTCTCTTATTTACAGATTAATCAAAATCCGTGCTTATTAAGCGGAATTTATTTGATCAGAATAGAGGAAAGTAGTTTGAGGAATACGCGAAAAACTTCCGGAAAATGTTCATTAACAATCGAAAATGTTGTATTGAGTAATCAATAAATCTGCTCTTTAATGTGTTAAAAGATAAGAGATTGAACGGAGCAACGTAATATGGCACGTAATATTTGTCCACGTATCACGTATCACGTCTCACACTTTTTGCATGATTTTAAAATAAATGAAAAATATTTATCATCAGAACCGCAATTTTCGATCAGATCACAATTGGGAGCGTTAAAAAAAATGATAGAAGAAAAGTTCACGCAACGTTGACATAATAATTTGACTTCCCAAATCTAACATTTGTGAAAGAAATCATCTCCAATTTTTTAAAATAATTCTATTTTAGTATTAAGCAAAAATTAAATTAAATGTTTTGTTTTATTCAGATGATATAGATAATAAGGTATTCTGTTTGCATTGAATGTGGCATATGATTACCATCGAAATCCGAATAACCTGAAAATACATCTAAAATATTTTCAACGATTTTATGCCATCTATCAACAATTCTCAGCTAAACTTCGTTGTGTAAATTTTGTTTGTTGTTTTTATTGATGTGACATTTGTGTTTTGTTATATATAATTAAAAGAAATGATTGTTGTGTATATTATCATAACACTACAATGATCAATGACCACAAGCATTGTTACCACGGGAGATAGGTTATGATGGAATAGGCATTGACCGATGACCAATATTTTGAAATGTTTTTGATGATGATCACTCATCCGCATCCCCTGGTGAAGGACGGGGAAGATGAGAAGGGGAAAGAGGAAGAGCGGGGAAAGGGAGGGGGGATTGAAATAATTTTAGAAATCGAAGAAAGAAATAGAAAAGGTTAGAGGAAGGAAGAAATGAAGGGGGGAGGAGGAGGAGGAGGAGGAGGAGGAGGAGGAGGAGGAGAGAGTCTGCTTTGCCTTGAAATGAGCTATCATCCCTTCAGGAGAAGCCTGAAGACCCCTTCGCGTGTTGATTACGAAGAATTTTGCGATAGAGTTTTACGCGCAATTTTCGGATCGATGAGACGGATGGTTGGTGCATCCGGAAATAGACCCTTGTAGGATGATGATGATGATGATGATGATGTTGCTGATGATGATGGAGGTGCCTTAGTAGGCTGACAATAAGGGAAAAAGGGAAAGGGGAAGGGGTTTTCCACTGGTATCCCAACTGGCTCTGACGTACATTCATTCCTGAGCTGATGATGCCCTTTGGCTCCAACAGCAACAAAACGATCGGATAGGATGAGAGGGAATGGAAGGGGTGCGGGGGAGGAGGGGAGGGAAGAAGAGTCGAAGGTAGGAGAGGTGTAGGAAGGGATGTTCTCCCCTTTTCCATCTCCCTATCCTATTTTTCAGGTCCAAAAGATGATTTACTAAACAGGGGTTGTGTCATGAAAGAAAAGATGGAGGAAGAAAGGAGGAGGAGGAAAAGGAGGTGGAGGAAGAGGAGGAGAAGTGTTCAGAGAATGATGGAAGTAGCAGGGGACATCAGGTGGCGCAAACGTGATATGAAGGGGGAAGGGGAAAAGAAGAGGAGGGGAAATACTGGATAGCGGTAGACGAATAGACAGATAGCACGGGGGGAGGGGAAGGAGAGGGGTAAGTCCGGCTAATAGTAGTGCGGGGTAAGCGGGGGGTGGGAGTAGGGGTTATACAAATATTTGTTGGAGGGGTTCTCTTTTCGTCTACCATTCTGACGGAGTGTTGCAATAAGATGGCCCCGCGGGGTTTGTCTCCCCCCGTCCTGTCACCCCTTCTTCTTCCTATCTACTCCAACCCCTCTTGATTGTTCAGTCAGAAAGAGCTCCTATGTATCTGAGTATGTATATATGTATGTGTGTATGTGTATGTGTATGTGTATGTGTGTGTATGTGTATGTGTAGATGGAGGAGTATGTGTGTGTGTGTGTGTTGCTTTGCCACCCCGTCCCGTCCGATGTTCAAAAGGGTGGTGTGTGGATGGATGGAAGGGAGGGTGTTAGTGATGGCTGGTTGCTTTAACCTCCCCCTCTTCCCCGCCTACGTATATGTTATTTTGAAATTGCATACTACCACCTCTCCCTCCCCCTACCCCCTCTTCTCGTTCGTTCTTGAGTTGTCGTAAATTGCTAACACCTCTGAAGGTTTTCAAGTATCGCAATGCTCAGGGGATGATAATGCTAACATTAGCAGATGATACGTGTCGCAGGCTGTTTATATTAGGTCAGTTAGAGTTAGGATTACTTGTATGCCTAAGCTATCTATGTAAAAGTTTGTCCCCCTAATATCGATACTATCATTTCGGATATGATCACTACTTATATTGTACAAATTAATTTTTTAAATTTCGTGCTAACTTAATTTGATTGCTCTAAAAAAAAGATAATAGAAGAAATAAATGGTAGGATGAAATAATGGCTAAGGTCAAAGAATTAAAACGGAAAATTTTAAACCGTTCAAGAATTAATTCATCATTTTTGCTATTCCTAAATTATATTTTAGTAATTAATAAAGTAGTGTTGTAATTGATAGGTTACTCGATTAAATATCATGATTAAATAAATGATACTGAAAATAATGATTAAGATAAATAATCTTAGAAGTAGTAGTAGATGTTATCATGTGAAATTATCATTTTGCTATCTCTTGGAAAGCAAACATTTCAAAAGGAAATGAGCAAAAGTATCGAGTTTCGCCTATTTAACCTCATGATAAGAAACTTTGCTTTTTCTTTTTTTTAATTTACAACTTAATTATTTCATTCATTTTTATCTTGTAGTAAAATTAAAATAGATATGATAAGAGTTGTTATCTTTATTTTCATTTTTATCTTGTAGTAAAATTAAAATAGGTATGATAAGAGTTGTGATAAAAGTTTTATTTTATTACATTGTTTATTTAATAGAAAATTTTTTGATGTTAAAAGTAATATGTTTGAAATACGTCGACGATGTCAGTCAGTTATGCTATGTTATGTTATATATTATAAGATGGGATAAATTGATGTAAACACCGTTTAAAGTTATTCTACGATTTAACCAAATATTAGTTTAATTTGGATGTAACCCCTTATAAATTCATTTTTCGATTTAACGAATAGTGATTAGTTTATTTTTGGAACAACATTCAATTTGATTAGATATTAATGTAAAAATAAAATATATATTCCTCAAAGCAATTTGACAAATCTTTTTATCTAGCTTAAAGCCATTTCCAACAGTGGATATCATAACGCTATAGTTTCTATGGCACGTTACTGAAGCACATCATATCTTTTTTTAGATGGAAATGGCAGCCACTCAGCCAAATGTAAATTTGCCGCTAGCGGCA